CCTCCATCTTTCTCATGTCAGGTGGGATGGGTACATCATGCCCTACCAGGTCTCAGGCTCCAGAAAGCAAGTGACTGGAGGTGCAAACATTTTCTAAGCTATGCTTGGAGGAGAAAGACACTATCATAGGGGAGACAAAGGCAGAGGGATCGGGGCTACAGACCAGAGCAACAGTGACGAGCACAGTTCATGATCTGCAGTGACCTTGACCTCCACAGGTCCTGGGTCCCCTACTCCTGCAGAGGACTTGAAATTAGGGCAGGAGAAAGTCCCAACAGTGGCCTGGCCCAGGGCCAAGCTAAGACTCAGGAGCTGAGGCTGAGGGTTATATATTAACTCCAGGCAGGGAAATCCAGCCCTGGCTACCAGGGCTCCTACCCAAGTGCCCACTAAGAGCCTCCTCAGGCCTCCCACAACCCCCACCCTCCTAGCACCCGCATACCTGGCACCTTGTGCTGCCCACACCACTTCTGCGTTGCCATGTGGTCCCCACCTTGCTCACTGGGCCAGGTAGGGACAGTCTCTGGAGACTGGAAATCCTTCCAGCAGGAAGAACAGCCCTGTGTCCAGGACTTCGACCCAGCCCACTCTGGCACACTCGCCAGGAGGGGACAGCCATGGACCTCAGCCTTACCGGGGCAGAATCTGGGGGCCCTGATGTCAGGCATAAGGGATATAAGTGGGGCTGGGGGCCCCCCACCCTGCTGATGCTTGAGTCCACCCCACTCACCGGCCAGCAGCATGGTCAGATGGCAGAAGGCAGCCAAGCGGAGCAACCACGAGAGATGTGGAAGAGCCATGGCCGAGGGCAGACGGGAGTCCGGGGTTGGAGGGTGGCAGAGAAGGCGGCAGGGGCCCTCGTTGAAGCTCAGAGCTGTCTGCTCGCTGCCTGAGCTCTGCTGGGATTTATAATGGGGCTCCGCTGCCTCTGACTCTCTCTGCCTCCGCCTCCGCCTCCCGGCCCCCGTCCCCCGCAGGCAGCAGGCAGGAAGGCGGTGGGAGGGGAGAGGAAGGGAGCCTGTGTGCAGCGACTGGATTCCTCAAGATGTTGCCAAGGAACGGAGCCAGCTCCCTGGCTCTGGGTGAGGGTTCGTGCAGGGGTACTGGACTGGCTTCTCATACAGAAACCTGCTCAGGAAACTGGACCAGCCTGCTAGGGTTCAAAGGGCCTCCCCTCCTCCCATCTGCCGAGCCACTTTCCTACTGGGAGTGGACACATGCCCTAGAGTCTGGCCTGGGGCCCTAGATCCTAAGTGGGCAATAAACGAAAGGACAGAGGACTAGAGAGTGCTGGCTGCAGGCAAGCCAGGAGGACTCAGGGCCCTCCCCCGACCCCGGTCTGGTCTGACAAACTGTCCCTTGGTCTGGTCTTTGCTCTCCCACACCAGGAAGGACCCCCAACATTTGTCTCTTGAAGCCCCAGCTCCCGGGGGACTTTTTTCATTAGCATATTCCCCATGCTCTGCATGGAGCCTGACAAAAAGTAGGGGCTTATTAATACAGCAAATGCCTGCTGAAAGAATGATCCTTCCCAATTTCATAGGGACTGATGGGGAACTGAAGCCCAGACAGCAGACAGAATCATGCCAAGTCACAGAGGGCATCAGAGCAGAGAACCCACCTCCCGCTGCCACAGAGAAGAGGAGGCATAAGCAGGGCGTGGGCAGTTTAGGACACAGAAAAGAGCCCCAGCCTCACTGCCTCCAGCCCTTCTACCTCTCCTTTCCTCATTTACCCCCACTCCCATCGCCAGCTCTGGCCCCCCGTGAGCCCACAGGAACAACACAGCTGCCGGCCTCACCCCGGGTAACTCAGGCCTCTAGGCTGGTCCTTAACTTGGCAGCAGTCCTTGGAGAAGTCCTGCACCCCTTGGGGCCTCAGCGCTCCAACTGTACAAGGAGAGAGTTGGGCTAATCCACTGGTGAGAGAGCTTGGCAGCTCTGACTTACAGGTTCTCTCCCCGTTAGAGGCGGTGACAACAGGACCAGGCACAAGCAGCCATCTGCTCTCACCAAACTGGTACAAACACTTACTGGTATAAATGCATGCAGCACAGCTGCTTTAGTGGCTGCCTTCCCTGCAGGCGGAGGCAATAATCCCTGAGATTCTAGAGGAGACTCGCAGGAGCCTAGCCCAGTCTGGGGCCAGGCATTAACTGTGAACCCACTCCCACTTAGGCATCTCTGGGCTGCCAGCCAGAGCAAAACCAGTTTGTCTGTGACAAACTGTCTGTGGCAGGTGCTGGAGCCAGCTGGTCCAGGCGGGGCTGGGCAGAGGGGTCACACCTCTCAAGGCCAGGGCATCTCCCTCTCACCCAGGCACAGTCAAGCTGCGCAGGGTGTGGAGCTAGGAGGCCTGACCCTCCATGACAGGGAGGAGCGCCCTGGCACAGGCCAATGTCCACTTGAGCTCTGAGAACCCGTCCCAGCCCATGCAGGTATGACACTAGTGACCTTCACATTTCTACTGCCCAATCCCTCAGTTTACAGCTGGGGAAACTGAGGCTCAGAAAGGGGCAAGAAGTGATGAAAACCGAGATCCAAAGGCTCCTTCTGTTCTGCCATGTAGGAGCAGACGAGGAAGAGGGGGAGGAGGTGGGGAGGAGGAAGAGAGGGAGAAGGGGGAGGGCAGGAGGAGGGGGACAGGTGCAGGGAGAAGGGAGAGCAGAGAGGAGTCAGGGAGGGGCAGGGGGCAAGTCCTGGGAAGCCCCGCACTTCATAAAGGACAAGAGTCGGGTTAGGCCAAGTATTTGGGGGTAGCGACCCTTGTTTCCTTGGCCCCAGACTATGTTTCAAAGAAGCATTTAGACAGCAAAGGCTTTGGGATCCGATGACCTTGGCTCTGGCACTATCTCTGTGTGATCTCGGGCGGCTTCCCTGTCTCTCTGAGTTTACACTTACTCTGTGACAGGCTTTGTATGACTACTTTAGGAAATCCTGACGACAAAACCAGGGTGTAAGCAAAACACCATTATCACAGTCCATTGTATGGATGGGGAAACTGAGGCAGGTAGAAGTTAAGGAATTTTCTGAGGATCACCAGCTAGGAAGTGGGAAAGCCTAGATTTTTTCCAGCAGGCTCCTGAGTCTGAGCTCCTGACCACCAGACTACACCATCTCCCTCCACCCCCACTGTGAGGACTACTGTGAGAATGAAGTGAGTTTATGCCCTTAAGTTGTGGTTCAGAGCCCGGCACGGAACAGGCCAGAACACAGATATGACACTGCTTTCCTTTATTCAGCCCTTGGGAACGTCCCTTATCATCTTCTTGCCTAGCTTTTCCCCCCATATAATTGCAATGCTCACCCCACCTATCTTATCAGGGTGTTAAGGACTAACTGAGTTGAGATTCAATTCAGACACAGTAACCAAGCTTTCAGGTTGGTCAGACCTGGAGCCAAACATGACTCCACCACTTAAGAGGAGTATTGCCTTGGGCAAGTGACTTAACTTCCCTGAGCCTCAATTTCCCCTTCTGTAAAATAGGATATTAATAGCTACTTCACTGACGCACTCCTTGGGGGGCGCTCATATAACTAAGGACTCTCACAGTGCCTGGCACGCAGGAACCATTAGTGTTTGTTATAAGCCCTGATGTGTGTCTGGCACTGTGGTGGGACAAGGAGCCCACAGGGAAACAAGCTGAAGCCTTTGTCCCAAGGAGCCCCAGTTCAGTAGGAGAGAGAAGATGTGAGTCCCACCAGAGACGCAAAGGCTGTGGGTCTTGGGGAGAGAGAGAGGCCTCCGCCCTTGTCAGGGAATCCCGGAAGGCAGGGATGAAAGGTGACGTTTCAATCATAAGATGGGCAGAATTTTGCTTTACTGTTTTTTTAACACTATCGTTTTGAAAAATATTTTAAACAATAAAGAAGGAACGGAACAAAGCTTTCCTATCTCTACCACCGAGATTCAATTAGCATTCTTCTGTATTTGCTACATCTTTTTTTTTCTCTTTTTTAAAGCCATTTCAAAGTAAATTATGGATGACTGATACTTTGCCCCTAACTCCTTCAGTGTGCATCTCCATTGTATAAAGACATTGTCTTACGTTAATAGAATACTATTATCCCATCTAACAAAACTAGCAATGATTCCTCTATGTCTTGTAATATTTAGTTAATATTCAAATTTCTATTATCCCAAAATATATTTAGATTTCTTCCCCTCCCTCTCTCTCTTCTTTCCTTTCTATCTGTCTATCAATCCAGCTATCTATCTATCCAGGGTCCAATCTAGGTTCATGCCTTGCTTGTGGTTATTTCTATTTATTCTACAGTAGACCTCCATGATGTTTTTCAGAAAGTTGACTTGAGTCAGCCCATTGTTTCACATGATATTCTCATTCTTAATTTATTGAATTATTTCCTTGTGATGTCATCTAATTTGTTCCCTTATCCCATGTATTTCCTGTAAACTGGAAGTTAGATCTACAGGCCCGATTAGATTTTGGCTACATATTCTTGGCAAGAATCCATTATGAGTAATACTTTGTACTTCACAGTGCATTCACATCCACCTTGACAGACAGGCTGTTTCACTGTTCCTGATGGATTGATGGATGACTGCTAGATCTCCCCGCTGCAGAAGTATTATTCTATTTGTAACTTGTAGTAAGCAGACAGGCAGGATTTTGACCAACCATTCTAGGCAGAGAGAAAACTTAACCAAGGTGGAAAACACAGGACCTATGCAGGTGTTGAGGAATGATCCAGTGTCATTGGCTCTGAGAAAGGAGTGGGGAGGGAGGCTGCAGCAGGACACTTTGAAGCTGGAGTGACGAAAGAGGATGCTGTTCAAGGGCAAAGGGGAGCCAGGAAGCTTCTGAGCTGAGAAATAACTAGAGCAGAGCTGGGCAGAGGGAAAGAGAGTTCTCTCAGGGTCAGTGGGATGACAGGGATGGGGGTACCCCTGCCCACACCTCTGCAGGCCTGGAGGTGGCTGGGACCCTGCCTGGGTGCCCCAGAGAGCAGGAAGCCTGTGTCTTTCTTGTGGAACATGAGGGATTCTCCCAGATTGGAAGCAGAAGAGAAACAGCTCTGGGAAACAGGGTGGGGAGCCCAGGCCACTCCTGTGGGGCCCCAGGATGGTTGAAGAAATGGGGTGGCCAGTGATGTGGAGGTCATCTCTAGGGGCCCGGGAGGATAGCCCTTCCTGCCCCAGTCAGTCTGGCCCAGCTCACCTTTTCTGACCAATAAGGAGGGCAGCCCACATGCACTTGGCATTTTCTGTCTATGCACATGCCTGGCCACACCCTCTTTTATTGTGGTAAAATATATATCACATAAAAATGAACATTTTAACCATTTCTAAATGTTCAGTTCAATGGAATTAAGTACATTCCCATTACTGTGCAACCATTACCACGATCCATCTCCAAAATGTTTTTATCTTGCAGGACTGAAACTCTGGACCTGTTAAATAATAACTCTCATTTCCTCCTCCCCCCAGCTCCTGTCAACCACCATTTTGCTTTCTGTTTCTACAAGTTTGATTCCTCTAGGAATCATACAGCATTTGCCTTTTTGCGACTGGCTCATTTCACTTACCATAATGTCTTCCAAGTTCACGCATGTTGTAGCAGGTGTCAGACGTGCCTTCCTTTTTAAGGCTGAATCATATTCCATTGTAATGGATAGACCACGTTTTGTTTATGCATTCATCCATGGATGGACACTTGGGTCGTTTCCACCTTCTGGCTATTTCAGAAAACGCTGCAATGAATATTGATGTACAAATATCTGTTCCAGTCCCTGCTTTCAGTTCTTTTGTATGTATGCCCAGAAGTGGCATTCCTGGATCATATGGTAGTTCTGTGTTTAATTTTTTGAGAAACAGCCATACTGTTTCTTACAGCAACTGTACCATTTTACATTCCCACCACCAATACACAAGGGTTCTAACTTCCCCACACCCTCACCAACCTTGTTTGTTTTTTCTTTTATAATAGCCATCTTAATGAGTAGGAAGCAGTATCTCATTGTGGTTTTGATTAGCATTTCCTTAATGATTAGTGATGTTGAACAGCTTTTCATGTTGTTGGGGAGGAAGAAATTTCCCTTTACCCTTCTAGGTTCTTCTAACTGGTCTAAGTTGACATGAGACAGATTAACAGGAGAAAATGAAACAAAAGTTTAATAACAATTATACATGGGAGATGGGGGGGAGGATATAGCTCAGTAGTAGAGTGCATGCTTAGCATGCAAGAGATCCTGGGTTCAATCCCCAGTACCCCTAATTAAGAAAAAAAGGAAACAAAAAGGAAAATACAAAAAAAAAAAAGTTTTCACAATTATACACGGGAGAGACCCAAGAGGACTGAGTAATTTGCCAAAACAACTGAGGCCCTCACCTTAAATACCATCTTCAGCTAAAGACAAAAGAGGATGTTGAGGGTAGTGGTTTAAGACTTCAAAGAGGAGGAAGACAATCCACAGGGAGATGAAAAGCAAATGTTTGGTGAATCATGCTGAGGTAATAGGACACAGAGTGGACCCCAATCTCTAGACCCTGAAGACTTCCCCCCACTACACCTAGTGCCCATATTCTTTGCAGAAATCTCTGGTGATAGTTCTATTCCTGTGACTGGTCCTATATCTAAATTCTCTCAGGCAGTTAAGGCCGAAAGTAACAAGAAAAATGTTCTGAGTTTTCTATTTCTTAAAAATAATCAGCCTAAATTAATCCTCACACCAAAGACACACATTTTGAGGTGGCAAATACTGCTCCCCTACAATGCGCTTATTAACCAGCTGGAGATCTTCTTTGGAGAACTGTTCACCCAAGTCTTTGCCCATTTTGTTATTGGGCTGTCTGTACCTTATCTCATCAGATTCTCACCACCACATGCACTAAACGCTTTTCTTGCCCCTTATTCACGGAGGGAAAAATTGAGGTTCAGAGGGACCAAGCAACTTGCTCCAGACATACAGGCAGTGAGAGTTCCTATGTCTGTCTAAATCCATGACATGTGCCCTTCCCGATGCTTCTCCACACGTCCCAGACAATGTTCTGGGTGTCTGGAGCTACAGCCCTGGAAATCCCACTGTGAGAGCCAGATCTGAAAGGGAGCAAAGGCCACTTATGCCAAGATGTCCATGAATGGTGCTTACACTGAGGAAATAATGAAGATGCTGTGAAGGCAGAGGAAGTCTTTTTTTTTTTTTCTGTTTTGGCAGAGTGAGTTGTGTCCAGGAACCCCAGGGAAGCAGGCCCATTTGATGGCCCAGGGAAGTTCAGCACCCGATGAACTGGGCGCTCCCCAAACCTGCTCCCTCTTCCTCCTGGATACATGGCTTGGCTGTACTTCCCAGCGTCCCTAGCAGTCAGGGTGGTCATGTGACTAAGTTCTGCCAGTGGCACGTGGGCAGAAGTGAGGAGCCCCCCATTTCCTGGCCTGGCTCAAAAATCCCTCCATGAGCCTCCATTCTCTTTCCCATCTGCTGGATGATGGAGAGGAGTCCTGGTCCTGGAGGAGGGTAGGGGCATTGAGAAGGAAGGAGCCTTGGTCCCTGAATGACCACATGGAAGGCCGCCCACAGACCAGGAATGTGCAATCAGACTTCACGGGAGAAGAAAAAAACTTCTATGGAGTTGACAAGCCATTGAGATTTTGGAGTTGTCTGTTGTAGGAAGTAGCATTTCCTGACTAATATAGTCTCCATACCTCTGTGTCCATCTTTGAAAGTGGAAGGTTGAAGCTGGGTTATTGAATGAATGAATGAATGAATGAATATGCTGCTCAAAGCTCTAGACTTGAGGACCAAATGAATGATTTCATCAGCTCCTCCTGACAAGTGGTACTAGGGTGGACAAATGTCTGGGGTTCCCTGCTGGTACCTGCACAGCTGCTTCCCAGGTCCTCATGTCTAGCCGGGACACCCCACCCACTCACAGGGTAACCTTGGGCAAGCCAGCTCACATGTCACAGTCAAGGGCTTCCCCACTGGGACAGATGGGCCATGGGCCCCCTGCCCTACTTCACAAGGACGGCAAATGCCAAGGAGCAAAGCAGACACTGTTGTAGAGGATTTATTTTCCAGAAGGCCTGAGCAGCAAGGGCAGGACAGGAGCAGAGAGAGATCCCAGAACACTTGAGAGCCCTGTACATGGGCAGTGGACAGGTTAACACTTGCCAGTACCTGTGGTGGGCAAATGATCTTGGGTTCCAGGGGGAACACAAACCCTGGAAGCCACTGAATTTTATGGCCAGCAAAGTCATTCCCCATGACTTGGATCTGAGTCCCTCAGTGAATCCATAAGGTGGGTATTCTTCTTCTCAGATGAGGCTCAGAGATGTTAGATGGTCTCCTCAGGGTCACACAGCAACAATCATCCTGCTAAGTGCTGAGCTGCACCAGGCTCCCTCGAAAAGGAAAAAGCACAGGTACCTAGGGAATCTGTTGTCCCCAAGGAGAGGCAGATTAAGTCCCAAATCCCACTCCTTAGCCTGATCCCAGCCACCTGAGAAAAACCTCCATCCAAGGATCTTTCACTTAACAATACACCACTCACTGGGAGGGCCAGGAGTTCTGCCTTGTTCTCCTCCCACACATTTCCTAAAATTCTTTCATTCATCCATTTGGCCTTTTAAGCATTTTCCCTCTTCTCATATACAAATATAACTAGAGTTTGTAACACCAAGCCAAAGGCAGTCATTCACACCATAGCATAAATTTGGTTATCAGCTCTTTGGGAAAAGAGGAAGGAAAAGCGGGGGACTCTAAAGAGTTCAGACCTGGATGTTGGAGGTTGGAGGAGCAGTAAAAACTCAAGGGAAGCAACAAGGTTAAAGAGACCCAACACACAGGTAAAGTGGGAAAGAAAGGTGAATCTGGGCAAATATGAGTTTTCACAATGGACCCAGCCAGCCCCTCTCTAGATGACCTGAGTCTCTGTACTGATATGTAAGGGCCTTTGGGGAATGGGAGAGTCATATTACTTCTATTGATTCAGTCTGCAGCCTCATGCTGAGCCCTGATTCTGAGCCAGGCCCTGTGCTCTATCCTAGAGGCTGGGAGACAAAAGTAACCCAGGGGTGGATCTTGGTCCAGCCAGTGGGGACCCAAGTCCCAAGGATTCTGGGCATACTGTGAACAGGGCTGTTAAGAGGGAGCAGAGGTCCAGGGGAAGTCTAAAAATTGAAACTCAATTACCAGCTGCTTAGGCTAAGTGATGCCTGGAGGGCTAGTGGAGTCGGACATGTTCAGGTGATGGGGAGACATTCTGGGTGTCAGGAGCAGCCCAGAAAAAGAGCCAGAAGTAGAAATGTATGACATGAGTTTGGAGAACAGGGAGCCAGGTCCAAAATGCATGAAGGGAAGTGAGGCAGGGCTGGAGATAGGGATAAGACCCAGATCTGGAGGTCAGGGGGGCCAGGCTCAAGAGCTCCAACCTTAGCCTGGGCAGTGGGGAGCCATGGAAGGATTTTGAGCAGAGGAGTGACTGCCCAAGACTGTGGATCCTCTGGCTAAGGTGGGGCAGAAAATGGGATGGAAGGGTAAGAGGGGAGATGCGAGTGACTGACAGCTGGAGGCTTGACTGCAGGTGACAGCTACAGGGATGGAGATCAGGGATCACTGAGAGTCATTGGCACAGGCTTGTGTCGAGGAGCAGCTGTAACAGCAGGGAGGTAGGGCTCCATGAGTCTTCCTGAAGGAGCCAAGGCCACGGTCATCAGGGCAGGGCCTGCCTCATTTGTTCAGCCTGTGGAGAATCTTCTTCACCCAGGGGAGCCTGGGGTCAGCACAGATCTCTCTGTCCCTCATGGTTAGCAAACTGGAAGATGGAGACACCAGGGAGACAATAAGGCAGTATTAGTGTGCAGCAAGAATGCCACATCCTGCCACAGAAGCTTAGCATTTATGAGTCACCTGCTGTATGCAGAGATGCCCACTATATAGAGTGGTTCAAAATTTATGAGCCACCTGCTATGTGAAAATACATTTCTTAAGAAGGAGAAGGGAAGATGAGCTGCAAGGACCTCCCAGATCCTCAGCCCCAGCCCTGAGTGCCAGGTCAGGCTAAAGAACAGAATACCCAAGGGTCTCGTAATCATTGCTGACATTGCCTTGGGAGAGAGTAGTAGGCAGTGGCCAAGAGCATAAACTTTGGAGCCAGCCTATCTGGGTTAAAATTCTAGCTCTACCACTTATTAGCCAGTGCCTTAACTTCTCTGAGCCTCAGTTTCTAATCTGTAAAATGGGCATAACTGTGGTCCAATCTCATAGGAATCCGATGAAGATTAGATGAGTTAATATAAACTGGAGTACTCAAAGCAGTGCATAGCAGACAGTAGGTGCTACATCATTATGCCAGGAGCTGGCCTGAACTTTATTTTTTAATAAATATTTACTTACAAATTCTGATTACTCTTGTTTAAAAAATCCGTCTGTTCGTTTGTTTGTTTTGAGGGGGAGGTAATTAGGTTTATTTATTTTTAGGGAAGGCACTGGGGATTGAATCCAGGACCTCACGCATGCTAAGCATTCTCCCACTTGAGCTATACCTTCCTCTGGCCTGAACTTTTAACGTTGATTTTCTCAATAAATCCTCACAATAACCCTATGAGCCCCTATTATTCTATCCATTTCATAGCTGAGGAACGTGAGACCCAAGGAGGTAAGGCAACTTGCCCAAGCCCCAGAGCTGCTGACTCATCGTGCTCCCTGTGAACTGGGCTCTCTGGAGAAAGTGCCTTCAGAGGGCATCTCCATTCTGGCCCCTCTGAGAGACCCGAGGAGCTTGTGTTGAGGAGGGAAGAGGTGAGCACTGGCCCAGGAGCACATGGCAGTTGTGGGATAAGGCTTCCACTTTTGCACTGCCTGCTGCAAACATCAGGCCAGGCCCCCGGGGCGCTCTGCTTCAGCTAAAGCTGGCCGGTGGTCAGACATCATCCAGCCCCGGATTCCCTTCCTGCCTCTCAAGGGCTTGTCTGTGGAGCCTGGGACTTCCTGGCTCCCCTTATCCCCCACTCCCCGATATGCACCTCCCCTAGACAACAAATGAACAGAAAGAACAAAGAAGACAGCAAAGCAATGTTGATCTTAGCCACGAGGACAGACTGCCCTGGCTGCTGTGTGACACTAAACAAGGCTCAGCCCCTCTCTGGGCCTTGATCTTCCCATTCCTCAAACCACAGCCAGATCAAACTCTAATAATCACATGTGTACTGTCTGTTATTGGGCATCTGTTTTATGCCAGGCACTGAGCATTACATCTTCCACTTACTATCATTGTGCCCTGTGATGCTTAAGGGGCCCCATAACCTCTCTGTGCCCATTTCCTCACCTGTAAGAAGGGGATGGTAACAGCACCTACCACATAGGGTTGTTTGAAAGATTAAATGGATTAATATTTATAAAGTGATTGTAACAGTGCCTAGCACTTAGCGAGCACTACACAAGTATGATAAACAAAAATAAATGAAAGTGATCACTTCCATTATACTGACGGGGAAACTGAGGCTTAGCACTGAAGTAACCAGAACCCTGGAAGGGCTTCCCACTTCAGCCTTCTTATTCACCCACAGACTACTCTGAGGGATGGAAGATGAGTGAGGAGGAGGAAGATGAGAAGATGATGGAGCCCCAAAGTGGGTCATGAGTCCCAAAGCCCAAACACCCGCAGTGTGCAGTGCGGCAGGCAGCGGGCTCTGCGGAGCTGGAGCAGCAGCCAGAGGGGCTGCCCCAGAAAGGCAGGCCTCACGTGTCCAGCCAGGGACGGGCGCAGGCACAGGCTCCAGGCCAGGGAAAAGGATGCAAAGAAGCTGAGAGAAAGCAGCAAAGGAAAAAAAGGACCTTGGGGAAATCCCAGCCCTGAACAAGGACCCGGGAATCCTGGTTCTAGCCTGGGCAACCTTGAGAAATTTGAGCTACCCCTAGCCTGTTCCATCTGTAAAATGGAAATAATCACATCTTCTTGTAGGACTGTCATGAGAATTAAAAAGTCATACTCGTAAGAGTGGCTGGCCTGGAGAAAGCTCTCAGTATCAGCCCTGAATATTCTCCTGGTAAGAACGGGCTGCCTCAGATAACTAACTCCCAGGCACTGGGGAGGATCCAAGATGCTTCCTACTGCCCGTACCTGAACCCCACACTCTGTCCCTCAGTATTACCGATCTCTCCATGCCCACATGGAGTGGCACCCTCCGCATCCTCAGAACCTGGCACATAGTAGGCACTTGATAATATCTGTTGAATGATCACGTGGTTTTTTTCTTGGTACACCCACGGCTAGGCTGAGCCATCTATTCCAGCCAAGTGCTCCTAGCTGGCCTCTGGACGCCTAGCTGCATTCCTCCATCCCTGGGTCCACCACACCCACAGGCACCCGAGCCCTCCTGGGCCATACCCATCAGGCTGTCCAAGGCCTTGCCTCCCCAGCTCCCTACTCACACCACGCCAGGCCTCCGGCAGGAGTCGGAAGTCCAGTAGTAATATTTCACCACACGCAGGGGGCAGGGGGTGACGGATGTAGTCCCGGCAGCAGATGCTGTCCTCCACATTGGCAGCATAGGGGCCTGGGGAAGAGCGGTGTGCAGAGGAGTCACAGGCCGGTCTCCCTCGGCCCTAACGTCTGACCCAGCTTTTCTGTTCTCATGTGGAAGGTGTGTGTCCAGAGGATTCTGAGCCATCAAAGTCCCCACTCTTGGGGCTTCTGAGAAGCCACTAAGGGCCCAAAGTCTACTTTCTGCCTTGGTCAGCTTAAGGGAGAGGAATTCAGAACAATCGTGCATCAACAATGCCCTACACCTCTAGATAGGACCCACAGGCTCTGAAAAGGAAGGAGCCTTAGAACCTTGCCATTCAAGGTGAGGCCCGTGTGCCAGCACCACCAGCACCACCTTGTTAGAAAAGCCCGGGGCCCAGTCCCAGTCCTGTTGAATCAGATACATAGTTTGAACAGATACCCAGGTAATCCACTTCAGCTCACATCTACCCTAACCCCCTTCAAGGTACAAACGGTGAGGCTGAGGTCCAGAGAGTGGGGAGGACTTGCCCAGCATGACCATGGAGAGTCAGGACAAGGACTCAGGCAGAGCAGTCACGCAGGTGCAGGTACGAGTCTCATTCTGCCTTGAGTCACCTAGCATTTCTGAGACTCACTCCCCTCCTTGGACCCAGGGGACAATAATAGTACCTACTTTACGGAGTCTTTGATGCAGAGAAAGCACTCAGGAACCCAAATAACTGAGCAATTATTGTTCCGAACTGCCTGACTCCCAGCCCAGTGCTTATTCCATTACCCAATACAGGGCAGAAGGGTGTACACTGGAATGGAAAAGAGAAGTCAGGAACCCAGTGTTGAGGGCAGGTTCTGGAGCAAAAATGTGGTGATGACAGGGCAGCAACAGCTTTCCAAGGGGATCTCCCTCACCCCTGCTACTGCCTACCCCAGCTGGCCCCCTTCAGTGGCTCCTTCTCCACACCCCAAGAGCCCTATGCTTGAGTTCTGGGCCAAGCGCACCGCAACCCATAACCCAGATGAGACAGATCTTAGACTCCAAGCCTTCAAGATGACCCATTTAACAGATGCATAAACTGAAGCCCAGAGAAGCAATGGGACTAGCCCAAGAGCCAGCAGTAGTATGGAGTCTTCTGCTCTCCGTTCAGTGCTCTACCCACCACATGAGGAAGATATTCCAGTGTCTGACCTTGATCTCTGCAGAGAGCCCTCCCTCATCCCAACCTCACCTGCCTCTGTTGCTTGAAGGATCATAGCAAGGAGGATGAGGGCAGCCAGGAGTGGGGTCTGCAGGCTGGCCATCGTCCTGTTCTGTGTGTAGCCCAGGTGTCTACAATCATCAAAGGACAGGAAGGTCTGGTATTTAAGCGCCTGCTACGCCCACAAGTCTCAGACACTCTTAGTCACCGGTGAGGCTAGAATCTCTGACATTCACATTATGAAAGAAGAACTCCCACTTCCTCCAAAGAGAAGGAAATTCTCTGTGGCCAGGAATCACTCAGAGGGGACCCCCACCCTAACTGCCCCTCTGGGTCCCAAGAGACTTGCAAAATCCCCCTTGAGCTGAGTCTCTGGGTGACCTGTGCTCCCCAGGGTCTGCTGGCAATGTAGCCTTGGCCATGTCACTGGATGTCTCTGGGACTCAGTTTGCCCAGCTAGAAATGAGGCAGATGGTTTCACGGTCCCACCTATTTACCCCAGTGGTTGTTTGTAAATCAAGTGAGAATGTGGACAGGAGCTAAACAGCTCCAAACCCTCACCTGGAACTGAGGCCCATCTTGTACCCTTGGTGACCTTCATCACTGATCTGGGTCCAGAGAGAGATGCCTACAGATCCACCGGGTTAATTTCTCTGCTCCAGCACCAGCGTCTCCCAGGGCTTCTCACAAAGTCTCAACTTGAGCTAGCTCGTGGTCCACTCAACAGCTGCAAACAGCTCCCACACAATTCCATCTTGCCGGTTCTTCCTTCCCAGCTGTCTCCCCTCTTCCTCACCCACCCTTTCTCAGTCTACCGCCATGTCCTCCCATTCTACTTCCTAAATCTCTCTCGGGTCTGTCCCCTGATTTTTATCCCCACTGTCCCTGCCCAATCCAGGACACTTCCACGCAGGCTCAGACACTGGCCCTCATTCGCCTGTCCATCCTGTGGTGGCTGGAGTGAGTGGCCCGGATTCAAAGCTGCACACTCCTCTCCCCTGCTTCAAAAACCCTGCTGTGACCCCTTGAATCCAGGCTCCTGATTATGGCCTCCAAGGCCTCCTTTCCAAACATGACCACCCTCACCGCCCCCACACTGGTCTCCCTCCCCTGAGGACGCACACCGTACCCCTTGTAGTTCCTCAAAGAGGTCCATGGCCTGTCCCTGGCTTGAGTGCCCTTTCCACTTCCCTACCACGCAAACTCCTACTCATGCACCAAGAGCCGTTGGAAATATCACCCTGTAGGTAAGCACACCCCCTCAGGACTTCAAAATTCTCCGTGACCTAGAATGTGGACCTGAGTAGACTAAGTCAAGTTATCTTTCTCAGACTCCTCCCAGAAGCCAAACTCCAAGCTCGTGGAAGTCAGGGGTCTCCCATCTGTTTGTCTTGGTATTCCCAGTGTCTACCAAGAGTGGGGTATCTGGTGGGTGCTCAGCACACATCTAACAGAGGAGGAAATCCAGGGTCAGAGAAAGTGGGGACTTGCCAGTAAGTGGCCAAGCCATCCTGGAGTTCAAGACTAAGCACTCCATTTGTAAAGGAAGCCATCCACTCACTTATTCATTCATTCAACAACTATTTATCGAGCCCTTGGTAAACAGAATAATGACCCCTCCCAAATAAAGATGTCACATCCTAATTCCCAAAACTTGTGAATATGTGACCTTACATGGTAAAAAATGACTCTGCAGACGTGTTTAAGTTAAGGATCTCAAAACAGGGAGACTTCCTGAATTATTTGGATGGACCTAATGCAATCAAAGGGTCATTATAAGTGGGGGGGCAGTAAGTGGGTCAGACTCAGATAGGAGATAGGATGACAGAAGCAGAGTCCAAGTGACACGAGACTATAAGCCCAGGAATGCAGGCAGCTTCAAGAAGGTGGAAAAGGCAAGGAAATCGATTCTCCCCCACAACGTCCAGAAAGAACACAGCCCTGCCCACACCTCAATTTTAGTCCACTGGGACTGATTTAGGACTTCTGACCTCCTGAACTGTAAGATAATAAATTGGTGTTGTTTTAAGCCACCAAGTCATTTGTTACAGCAGCAGGAGGAGAATTATACAAGCACCTGCCATGTGCCAAGTACACCGCCAGGATCTGGGGACACAGCAGTGAACAGGTCCCTGCTCTTGTGGAGTTTACCTTGGAGACAGACAGTAAAAAGGCAAAAAAAAAAAAAAACCAACCAAAAACCCAAACAAGGTACTTTCAGGATGCAGTGAGTGCCATGGAAAATGAAACAGAGAAAAACAGACAGTGACTATAGGGAAGCAGGTTTGAGTAGTCAGGAAAGGCCTCTATGAAGGGTGACAGGCAACGTGAAATTTGGAGAATACTAAAGAACCTGCCAGGAGGAAAGGGCAAGTGCAAAGGGTAAGAGGGCTGAGCAACCAGGGCAGAGCGGGTGGGCGAGCAGGGGCGGCCAGGTGGGCGAGCAGGGGAAGCCAGTTGGGAGAGCAGGCAGGCAGGGCCAGGCAGGGCCTGTTCAGCGGCGATTCCTCTGAGCTTCCTGATAGGTGTGCATCAAAAGTGCACAGCATCACTTTGGAAGAGCTCATATCAAAAGGCATTACCCAAAGCCAGAAGGACAAATACTATGTGGTTTCACTTCTGTGAGGTTCCTAGAGGAGTCAAATTCATAGAGACAGAAAGTAGAATGGTGGCTGCCAGGGGCTGGAGAGAGGAGAGAATGGGGAGTTATTGTTTAACGAATACAGAGTTTCAGTTTGGGAGGATGGAAACGTTCCGGGGATGGATGGTGATAATGGCTGCACAACAATGTGAATGTATTTAATGCCACGAAACTGTAACTTAAAAATGGTTAAAATGGTAAATTTTATGTTATGTATATTTTACCAATTAAAAAAAATTTTAAAGCACATCATATGTCATCAGGGAAATGCAAATTAAAACAACAAGGAGGTACCACTACATAACTAAGAGAATGCCCAAAATCTGAAACACTGACACTAGATGCTGGTGAGGATGTGAAGCAACAGAAATTCCCATTCATTACTGGTGGAATGCAAAATGGTACAGCCACTTTGGAAGACAGTTTGGAGGCTTCTTACAAAACTAAGCATGTTTTTACCATATGATCCAGTAATCACACTCCATGGTATTTACCCAAAGGAGCTGAAAACTTATATTCTCACAAAAGCCTACATTATAGCAGCTTTATTCATAATTGCCAAAACTTAGAAGCAACCAAGATGTCCTTTGGTAGGTGAATGAATAAACCGTGGTACATTCAGACAATGGAATTATCATTCATCGCTAAAAAGAAAATGCTATCAAGCCATGAAAAGACATGTAGGACTTGTAAATGCATTTTACTAAGTGAAAGAAACCAAGCTGAAAAGGCTACATACTGTATGACTCCAACTAGGTGGCGTTCCGGAAAAGGCAAAACCATGGAGACAGTAAAAAAGATCAGTGGTTGCCAGGAGTTGCTGGGAAGGAGATGAACAGGCAAAGCAGAGAGGATTTTTAGGGCAGTGAAAATACTCAGTATGGTAACATGATGATGGGCACATGTCATTATATTTTCATCCAAACCCACACACTACACAATACAGCGAGAGAGAAAACCATAATGTAAACAATGGACTTTGGGTGATTATGATGTGTCAAAACAGGTTCATCAATTGTCACAAATGCACACTCGGGTGGGGGTGTTAACCACAGGGAGGCCAAGTGGAGGGGCAGGGAGCATATGGGCAATCTCTGTACCTTCCTCTTGACTTTGCTGTGAACCTAAAACTGCTCTAAAAAAATTAAGCCTTTGGGGAGAAAAATAAAGGGTGCTACCCAGAAACTAATCATGCCTCTAGTCCTGACTTCCAGTTTACAAGAAATACAGGGGCTAGAGAGGAAGATGAATGACCCCACGAGAAAACAGACAACCGCA